ATAGAAGGCAGAAGAGGGCATCGGCTCCCCAAGTGCTAGAGTTATAGACCATTATGAGCTTCCCTGTGGCTCTAGGAATCAAACCTGAGTCCTCTAGAAGAATAGCCAGTGTTCTTAACCACTGAGTCATCTCTCCATCCCCAGAATGATGAAGTTAGTACAGACCATCCCTTTCTGGTTCCACATGTTTATCTAAAGCAGTGCTAAAGACCTAGGCTGAATCAGGTCTGGTAAGGAACAGCCAACATGCTCCTTAGCATGGAAGGGCCTATTGAATTTTCTTCATTTGCACCCCTTTCCTCTTGGAAGCCTTTGGCCCCCATTAACCATGAGAACCACATTTCTTGATGATGGCACCAGAACTGGTCATATTCAGATCATTTGTCCTGCCCACAGATCTGAATCTTTGTCACAGCTTCCAGTGAAGCTACATCAAGCCAAAACAGTCTTACATCAAAACATTACAAACATTACAAACAACAAAACATTTTGTTGTTATCTCCAGGCCATTAAAACTTAGTATTAGTATTGACAAAGAATAAGAGCTTGTTTGCAGAATGTGGGTTAGGTATAACCCACATGTGCCATTTCAGTCACCATGGCACAAAGAGGTGGTATTGGATCCAATAGCTACCTATGACAAAAGGAATAATGTTCTTTTAGAACTTGGGGGGCTTGGTTTGTTGGGGAGGCAAACATGACTAGAGAAAAATGAGACATGAAAATGATTTCTAGGGGCTGGTGGGATGGCTCAGTCAGTAATCACTCTGGCCTTGCCAGCATGAAGACCTGAGTTGGACTCCCAGAATCCACGTGAAGATACTAAATGTGGTGTTACGTGCTGGGGAGGCAGAGGCAGAAGGATGCCTGGGCTCCATGGGCCAGCCAGTATAGCCTAATTTGTGGGCTCCAGCACTGTGAGAGACTGTCAGAGGAGGTAGACAGCATTCCTGCAGATAGCCCAGAAGGTGTCCTCTGGTCTCTGCATACATCCACACCCATGCCTAATACGTGTCTTTGCATGCATATGAACACACATACACACACATATAAAATATATTTTTCTCCAGAAAGAAACCAAACCTAGGCCAGTGAGATGGTTCAGCAGATGGGGCTGCTGAAGACCCTTGAGTTGGATCCCAAGAACACACATGATGGAAAAAGCCAACTTCCACGAGTGGTCCTCCATCTCCACCGTACTATCCCAAAATCCTAAATAAATGTTAAAGAAAGACAGACACACAGACACAGACACAGACACACACACACACACACACACACACACACACACACACACACACAGTGGGGGAGGGGGGGGAGAGAGAGAGAGAGAGAGAGAGAGAGAGAGACCCTTTTGACAGAGGGCTGAAATCTGGCAGCTGCTAAGATTCCGTTCCTGCTCTGCAGTGAACCTCACTTTCTCAAGCTATTTTCATTTCATTAAACCCAGCAGACAGGACTCTGATGTATAAGTGAAGTTCATCTGCCAACTCCCATCGAGAACAAATCCAGCTGAGGTTGTTGCGTGGGATTTCAGAGCATCCTCAGGATGCTGCCCTGGCTGCATCTGTCGTCCAGTGGCAGCCTCTGTCTCACTGACCTTCAGTGAGCCTTCTCACGAGCACTGCCCTGGGACAGTTGGCTGGCCTTGCCTGGCTACATGACAGCAGACAGCAGGTACTCCAGCAATGCCCGGCAGAGCCAGGAGCATGAAGGCCAGATGCTCAGAAGGTGCTCAGCCCACCAAGCTCAGCCAAGGCAGATAGGATAAATGGATGTGGGTGCAAACAAAGAACCCCAGGAAAGAAGAGGAGCCCCCTCTTGCCCCACCCCGAGCACACATCTCATACCTCCGAAGCCAGGCCTCATGCTGAAATCATGGTCATCTATCCTGAGCAGCTGCTCTGACTTGGTGAGAGGTGACTTGGTTATGTCGGAGCTTCGTTTCAGAATTGGGCTGCCAAAGAAGGAAAAGTAGGTTGATCAAACACGCTAACCAAGCCTGGTCGGAACCATAGCTGTCTGCATTCTTCCTGCTCTTGCCAGGTTTCGTAGAGTGTGCTTTCTCTTCTAAGAGCCATTCAGTTGCACCTTTCCCTTTTCCAACTTCTGGAAAAGGAAACTGACGTGGAAGTTCAAGATTCCAGCCCCCAGCCACATGGAGGGGCTTCTCAAACAGCGATGCCAGACCCCCTCTGCCTCCCACATCCTGATCAGCATCTGGGAGCTGTTTTTTTGTTTTGTTTTGTAAGGAGATGGAAACTGGTATTTTTTAAAGTTTTCCAAGGCTGGGGGTGTAGCTCAGTGATGGGATGTTTACCAGCATAGGCACAGCGCTGGGTTCCATCGCTAGAACTGGAGGGAAAAGGAACTCAGTGATTTCACGAAAAATCAATGCTGACACCTGCCGAAGCTGGTCTGAATGCTAAGCCAGACTTCTGACTGAGGAGAAGCAAATGTGTATGGCTGAGCCTCACTGCCTTGACTTTCTGTGGTCACTCTGTGGAAGGTGAACACCCTCACACTGTGTTTCCAGGGAAAGTGCTTCTAGATTGCTTGTAGGGACACTTACCTGTTTTTGACTTGTTATCTGTTTTTCCTAAACATGTGGTGTGGTTTCAGTGTTTCACAATCTCCTCTCTCTCTCCCCCCCCTCTCTAGCCTCTCCCTCCCCCTTTCTCTATCCCACCCCTCTCACCTTCATGCAGGTAGGGGCTGGAGAAATGGATCAGCAGTAAAGAGCACTGGCTGCTCTTCCACAGGACCCAAGTTCTATTCCCAGCACCCGTATGACCGATCATAAAACTCCAGTCCGGAGGGGATCTGACACCCTCTTCCGGCCTCCACAGGCACTGCATGCACATGGTGCACAGACATAAATTCAGAGAAAGCACCCATACACATAAAATATTTTTTTAAATATTTTTAAACATAAAATAATTTTTTAAAAAATTAAACATGCAGTTAATTCTACTGACCTACCCCTCACCCAAGAGAAACTTGTCTTATTGCTTCCTTGACTAGACAGTCTGTCACAGAAATATGGAAGTACTAATATATAGTATTATTTTCTCTCCGTATAAAGTTAATGTTATATGATTGCTTCTTCATCTTGCTTCTCCCTCATTTGGTAATACACCTTGGGTTTTCCCACATGGGAGTCCTCCATGCCTCTTATTCTACCGCATAGTGC